TGAGTTAAAAACCAATCCACACGCACACACGCCGAATCATGTACCAGCCTTGCATTTTATGGGGCTGGAGTTTTCTGTGACTTTCAGATTATCATTAAACTGTGTTTCATCAGGGAGCTTTTATATGCCTCTCCTAAGCACCACCTCTTTGTTTTCTCCTCCTTTCCTCACAGTCCCCCAGCTTATTGGTATATGGCATTTGTAGCCAGGTCAGTTGCACCCATGTGTAATTCCTAATATAGTTCTGGTTGCAGGATTTATGTGGTACTTTAGTAATTATGTGAATGATTAAGATGTATGTGTCTGGCAGACAGGCTCCAATGACACAGGTTTTGAGAGAGTGAAATGCTGAATACGGCACTGAAGGTTTTCTAAAATTGAAATGTTGGCTTCTGAAGCTTATAAGATTTTAAACATTCAATTTAAATTTTAATATGAATCATATGTGTGTTTAATCAAGGGACAATAAACTTACCAGCATGCTTTTAACTAATGCTAACTAAAAAAATTAACTAGTTAGTATGGGGGGGAAAAGATTGCTATTGAAGTAATAAATAGTTTTTCACCTTTTTGGGAGATGAGGGCTAGAAGCTTTCTTTCCAGGGTGTGCATGTATTGTGCATTTTAGTGGGGCCAACTATTTACCTGGGTAGAGAAGGAAGTGTGGAAGCTTTGTACAATTGATTACTTGACTCTTTTGTGTCTCATTGTATAACGAGATATACAAATAATCCTATTTTTGATCCTTGGGCAAACATTTAGCAACTCTGAAAAAATGCAAGCCATTGAAATATTAGATCCATAAAGTAATCTGGTTAAGAATTCAAAGGAAAATATTGATACAAAGGGGAAAATATATGGTACTTAAGGCATATCTATAAAACGAAAATATTTTTTATATCAATCTCTGTCCTCTTCAAATTAAGGCGCTTTTTGTGGTCAAACATTTCTTGTAATGTTGCAAAGACATAACTTTCTCTGTGCTAAAACCAACTTCCCTAATGGCATTTTCAACATGACCATGTTCCTGAACCTTGCAGGAGGAATGGCCTAGATCTGGACAAGGGCATTCCTTCCTTGGTTTAAAAGCAGTATAAACATCACACCTATTTATTCACCTTCTACAAATACTATCTCTTTGCATTTTGAAGTCTCGTACTACGATGTGCTTTTCTTTCCACCAAAGAAAGAAATGCTCCACTGCAGTGTTGAAAACACTCATGGGTTACTGTTCCAAAAGCAGTATTTTAAAAGCAGGGGTTTATCAGGAGTTCTCAGAAAACACATGAATAGATATTTTGGTGTTTGTACGGAGTGAAGAGGATTTATTATTGGTCTCCAAAACCGTTATGTGGTTGAACTTGGTGACAGTTCAGCTTTTCCAGTATCTTTCAGTCTTTAAAGGAGAGAGCGCAGTTGCCTTTTCTTTTGGAGAAACTACATCTGTGTAGTCTTCTGTTCCCCCACCATGTACACAGGCTTGCCAAAAGTAAATCACTGGCTTGCAGTGCCTGGTGGTAAGGGAGCTAAGGTGTCCCACAAACAGCCGAGATGAGAGAGAGAGCATCAAGAGAAATTTCATCCCGTACAAGGTATGCTCCTTGTCACTGAAATTTCAGCAGTACACCTTCTATCTGTGCCTGTATTAACCCTGTGCTTACTGTTCTAACCAAGATGACATGTTGTAAGTCTGTTGCAGTGCTATCCATTTGTTCTCTGGCTGTCAAATTCCAGCTGTATGTTGGGTCCTCTAGAGGCAACCCTACTGCTTCTGGATTCAGTTTTTGATGTGGAGATGTAGACATATTCCCAACTTTATACAGGAGTTTGGCAGTGATGGAGATTCATGGTGCCACTGCTATTCAGTGTGACAAAACGTGGCCTCGATAAAAGTCTGGCAAAGTTGTTCTGCCAGTAGTGAACACCTTAGCTTCATTAGGAGACAGTCTCCATTGGCTTGTTCTTGGCTTGTTCACTAGGTGGAAATCTAGGAATGCTTAAACATGTTTTCTGTAATATTTAGACTTGTAGTCATTTTGCCATAACAGAATAATTACTCTGCTTTTTCACACCTTGAAAATCCTCTCAGTAGACTTCCATCCTGCCCACCGAAAGCTTTCAGCCAAAGAAATCTCGATAGCAGTAGGCTATCAAGGAGGTGTCTGGAAGGCTGATGTCTGCATTCTAGTATTCCTTTTTTCTTTTGACAGTGCTGTCATCAGAAAACTGTGAGCATCTTCTACAGACATCCCTTCTCCTAGACCTTCAGCATTCCAAATCAAGTCTTCCTTAGCTGCTGCTTTTTTTGGGAAGGGACTAGAACTTTACTGAGAGGTGTTTGCCTTTTGTGGACTGTAAGTGAAATCTGTGGTTTTGAAAGATGGCAGAAGAATAGTGAGGCAAGACAAAGCAATTGTGGATTTAAGCATGTTTCACCAGTTTGTCCACTTAAATGTGTATTGGCAGGTGCTGTATACTATGAAGGGCTGGTTCCTGTTTTAAATGCTTATACCTGGTGTGTGGTAGCTTCAGATCTTTATCCTGAAGATGGCTCCTGTGGTTCATGGGAGTTTGTGGAAGAAAAGTACAAGGGAGGTTCTTCAGAGCTTCAGATAAGCCAGTTAATTTTCTGCTCTCTATCTGAGGTCTTTCAAAGCACAAAGGGGGTTGTTAGGCACTTGAAGACTCTTCAGACTCCTCACTGCAAACCTGCTGAAAACCCAGTCTGTTCATTGATTCATTCCATCTTTTGCCTTTTGAACAATTGCCAATCATTGATAAAGAATCTGGTCAGTAATGTTGTAATTCTGTTTTTCTTGGGATTTGAACTTCAGCAAGGTGTTTATTGTATGGGTTTTCTGTGGGGTGGAGATTAAGAAAGTACTACTGCTAGAAAGGATTTTTGAATCACACTGTTCTATTTAGTGTCCAGCACAGTCACAGGAAGTTTAAAACTACTTTGATAAACTGGAGATATGAGTTTATACCATTGGCTTTAAAGTCCAGTTTTGAGGAGGATTTATGTTTAGGAACACTTGCTTCAGATGTGATGTTGAGTCATTGAGAGCAGACTGGTATTACATAATAAGACCTCATTTCCTGAGCAAGCACTTAGATGCTGAAGACATCTATCTGTCAGATAATACTGTGCTCCACTTTTCTCCTGATGTGATTTAGTTGTGAAGTATCTGCTATATATAAACCTGGAAAAAGCTCTGAGTTGAAACAAAGATGTGATAATTGTAGTCTGTTTTCATAGTTCAAGATGCTTAATTTAATGTGCTTGAAATTATTATATTTTGTGCTGGGAACTTTGAAGAGTCCTGAGGATTTCCCACATGTACTTTTCAACATTTTTTTTTTTTGAATTATTTAGTAAAGTCAACACAATTACTTCATTTGGCTTGTGGACAAAACATTTGATTTGAACACCGTGCTGAGGAGAGAACTTGTGTGTTAATACTTGCCTAAAGATGTGGTCTGAATTCTGATCACTTCTTTCTACTAGTGAATTACACGAATAGGTGTGGTATTTATATCTGAAATTTTGCTGAATGCCTGTAATATTTTATGCAAATATTTCATTAATCAAATGGAAGTGCTCCTGCAAAGCTTCATGACACAGATTGTCGATCAGTTGATCAAGTGAGCTTACAGACAAGTAATTTTCTGACCCAAAATGGTATGCTTTCAGTTTAATACTGGTAATTTAAGAATGTTTCCTCTTTCTTAGAAAAAAAATATGACTTTTATACAGCAAATAATTGGAGAGGTTCTTAAGCACCTGATAACCTGGTCTGTCTGTCAGCATGGTAGTGAATGTAGATGGTTGCCATTTGACAAAGCTTCCTATGACCATGTACTAACTCTGATTGGATGTGGCAAATGTTCTCAATTGTAGCAGAACTTACAATTACTGTATCTGACAAAAGAGAAAAAATAGGAACCAGGAACCATAATCAGTTTGATAGTTGTATGCTAGCTGTTTTCAGGTTGGTGGCAGTCAGTTACGTGTGTAATATTCTCTACCTGGTTTGTAGCTGTAACTGTGATGTACAGATAAAATAAAAAAACCCCAAACAAAAAAACCCCAACCCCCCTCAACAAACACCACGAAACAATCTCCTCTCTACGAACTCGTGAAAACAGAAGCAAATAATGCAATGATATAAGATACACACTTTTGTATTTTTATTCTTATAAGGTTATTTGCTGGCTCTTGTTGGCCTCTAGTTCAGTCTGTGTTATTTAAATTCTAATATATGAATTATTTGGATTGAATTCATGTTCGGGGCCATGGTGTTGTATGTATTGATGTACAGCCTTGAATGTGAATAATTATTGTAAACTATATTTTACACCTTTTTTCTGGCTTTATTATATAAATTTTCTATTGGTCGATGATTTAATCATATCTCATAATTTAATGACTGTTTCTTCTCTCGACAGATCTCTGTGCTGTAGATGTGTAGTTAGTGGTGGATGACGGATCTCACTTATGCTCGGTAGTCTGTAATAAAGGCATGTAGGGTCCTGGCGCGGCCTCCGCCTCTTCCTTCCGCGCCGCCGGGGCGGGGCGGGG